CTCTTTGTGTAGATCGCCACCTTATGAGGCAAATTCAACAAGATGTTCTAGATTCCGAGGAAGGTTCTCTATTTGGACTCGTTTTGTGCAAAAATGCAGTTTCTAATGCACCACAATCTGATATTTACAGGCCAAGATCGACACGTCTTATGATCATCTTGTTTCGAAACGTGGAGTTTTGAATGCGGTAAATCGGGTACATGCTGAAGAATATTCTACGGAATCTAGAATATTCCACTAAATTTGACACTGCAAGAATGAACGAGAAAAAAGATTCATTAATTGAAGAGTGATTGTAATTAACTAATTTGACGAGTTGAAATATGCTTCCAATCATGACAACTGCATAAAGATGAATCCATGGTGGGCCTTAGGGCGTAGGCCCATCCAACTTCGTTTTGTCCACAGTCTCTCTATTAGTTACTTATAAAATAAATTAACAGCTCAAAAGTTTTCATTGTCTTATTCTCTATTACTTTGCAAAATAAATAAATAAAAGTATGTAACAAATTGAGAAAAAACAAATGTGTTGATGATTCAAAAATGATGTCATGCTTTGTGCATTATGAAACCTAGAACATAAATAATACAAAAAAAAATTTGAATATGGACTAATATTTGAAGTTATTTATGTTACTAATTGGTAAATAAATAAAAATATTACTTAATTATTTATTTATTTTATTATGTTTTGTGATTCTTGGAAAATATATTATGTTGTGCAGATTTTTGAATAAAACACAACTATTTTGGTAATTATATATTAAAAAAAAAAGATTTTCATTTTCGGTTAGTGTAATAAAAAAAATTAAATGTTTTATAATAACAGCACGACGTCGTTTCGAGCACTGAGTCATAGGTGTAAGCGGGACCCACATCCGCACGCCCAGCAGCCGGCTGGAGCCCAGTCGTTGACTTTGTCTCATTTTATTCAAAATTAGAAACAAAAAGGTCAAATTAAGAATGACGTCACCCTCGTGAGTCAATTGCTTCGTCCTCCCACTCAATTTCATAGTTTTTTTTAACTACCTCAAAATATTAAATAATTACATATTGGTGGAAATTGAATTGACCCTTGTGACTACTTAATTAAGACGAAATCATACGAGATCTTACTCAAAAAAAAAAAAAAAAAATCATACGAGATCTATGGATGCTATATCTTGTCAAAAATACCAAGTGATTTTGTACCATAATTCTATATAAATAATCATCGACCAAGCACATATGTGTACACATGGTTGTGTGTTATTATGTGTAGATCAATGAGTAAAATTACTCGATATATTTTACCGGATGTAGATTTGCAAAACATTTTGTTTAGTGTCTAGTAATTGTTGGAAATGTAATCTGCTATGAACGAATATTTGCCAAGGCGAGTTGACTCTGTCCTTAAGACGAAATTTCCCCGCAACGGTGCTAACGGCTTGAATGGAAATCGTCTCCCAAGATACAACGGCAAGGCTTGGAATAGGAGCACTCCAAATCCCAAGTACGACGAATTGTACTTTGTGTAGAACTTTTCGAGAGAATATGTGAAGGGTAGGCTTAATATGCAGTAGGCTGATTTTGGATTGAAGTGAGGAATTCTGAGAAAGACAGGATCTATTTATAAGGTTCGAAAAGTAGTGTCCTTTGGAGCAAAAATGTGCATTTTGGCTGAATGGTTGCACCATTTCGAGTTGAGCTATACCCATACGTAAATAGCTCATCGTTAATGTAATTAAATATGTAGCATTAGTTAATCGTGTATGTACATTTCCCAAATCAAAATATGAGTAAACACAAACTTTTAATTTTATATATATATATATATATATATATATATATATACACACACACACATAATAGAAGCTAATCGGAGTCCACAAATGATTATTGAGATGTTACACCCGATAAAATACAAAAGGTGATTAATTATTAACCTTTGATGTAATGAAATAAATTCCCATTAAGCACACACATGGGTGTGTGTATTATATGCAAATTAAATCAATAACTAATAATGGCCCAGTATATTTTACCGGATATAGTATCAAATAAATCACGATAAAAATATGTTCTAGATAATGGAAATGTGGTCCTCAAGATAAAGTGTAGCCATCGGGGCACACAAAACACACACACAATATATATATATATATATATATATATATATATATATATATATATATATATATATATATATATACATATAAAAAAATATGCGCATATATGCATACACACACACATACTTATACACATGAAAATCTACATATGGTCATTTATACATTAACCTAACAACAGCTAGAACACTAGATACAAAAGAT